ATCCCTCCGACAACGAAGTTTAATTTAACACCAGTGCGGTATAAAAGCCAAGCAGCGTACTATACAGAAATTAATGCATACTGTGGAAAATCACTTACGTTAAATTTTGGTATCTAACGTAGTTTTTCGTGGATTTTAATACAAGTAAATATGAAGATACCTATACTAGGAGCAGACTTTATATCAAATTCCAACCTATCAATGAACATGGCTATTAAGACACTGATAGACAACAAAATTAAGCTAAAATTCCATGTAATACCTTCCCTATATCTTTCAACAGATATCAGCTCAGCACTATACCGGACGATATGATTTTTCGCGAAATTCTTCGTAAATTTCCAGGGATTACAACCCCATACTGACACAGTACTACACACTGTTAAACACCACATTCAAACAACAGGACAACCGATCCATTCCTCTCTCTCTCCCGGCAAAATACATGATGACAAAGGAAGAATTTCAATATATGCTGCAGCTAGGAATAATTCGACCTTCCAAGAGCCAGTGGTCATTCCCGTTGCCCATGGTACCGAAAGCAGATTCTTCTACATGTCGTCCATGTGGCAATTTCCGACGACTAAGCAAGTCACTAGTCCGATATTGCTATCCTATCCCGCATATACATGATTTCGCGGTGGGATTGCAAGGTATGGAAATTTCACCAGACTTAACGCAATCAAGGCGTACTACAAAATACCCGTCGTAGAAAGCGATGTGTACCAAAGACTGTTATTACCACCCCTTTCGGTTTGTTCGAATTAACCAGAATGCCGTTTGGTTTAAGCAACGTAGTCCAGTCTTTTCAAAGGTTGATAGACTAAGTGTTAAGAGGTCTATCTTTCACTTTCATATACATCGACGGTGTATTAATAGCAAGCAAAAATATGAGCGGACTCGTGGAACATCTCCAACTTGTTTTTGAACACCTGCAGCATTTTGGACTGAAAATTAACGTCGATAAATGCACGTTTGGTGTAAAAAATCTTTCATTTTTACGACATTAAATAGACGAAACAGGATTATTACCTCTGAGAAGATAGAGGTTATATTTTCTCATAGCCAGAGTCAACTCGTCAACTTCGAAGGTTTATTATGGTAAATTTCTAACGAAGATCTTTGCCACACAGTTCATTAAAGTTAGCTACACTGACAGACAAATTAAAAAAAAAACAGCCAGAAAAAGAATGCAAAACTTTTATTTCAAGGCCTTTTTTTAGACGCTTAGAAGCAAAGAAAGCCAAAGTGAACTTCGTAAAAGTAAATTACCTAACCCTACACGCAAGACGCCAGCGGTTCCCTGCTGGAAGTCACCAGCAGGCCACCGGCAAGCCAACGGTAGGGCACGAGCGGTCCGCAAGTGGTAACATTGCCGGGACGAACGTAAACGCTAGTAGCATGCCATTCAGTGGCAGATTGGTGGCTTGTATGTAAGGAAGTGATGATGAAAACGTAGTATTAACTTTGACAACAGTTGTTGGTGCCGTTTTACAGCAAAATATTAACGAAGTAAACAAATCTTTATCCTTTTTCTCTCGCAAGCTAAATTCCTCACAGGTGAAATACAGCACATTTTCTAGAGAACTTCTCGCTATCTACTTAGCTATTCGACGTTTACATTATATTTTCGTCGGGACATGAATTTACGGCATTTACTGACCATAAGCTACTCACTTATGCCCACTACAGCAAGCCCGACAAATATTCGTCACGTGAAACAAGACATCTCGACTACATTTCACAATTTACTTCAGACCTACAATATATAAAAGGTGAAGAAAATATTGTTGCAGACTCACTTTCCTGTATCTCAATAAATACTTAAAGTTGTTTTGAACTTTTCACATTTCATTTCATTTTTCAACTTTTCTTTTGTGAAATGTCCTGACAATGTATTTATTAATATTTCTTCAAATTCTATGTCTTATTATTCCTCGGGACTTATATGAGTCCACCAAAATTGGTAGTGGATCAAATATACCAGGCGCTTATTACTTCTTTATAAAAGTGTGTATACCCACTGCAACTGCTATCAATTGGAAGTACTGAACGAATATTTGCGGAAAAAGCGGCCATTACTGGTTAATTGTAAAGGCTTGTTGTTTTTACAAAATAATGTAAAACAAAAGAGTCACCACGGAAAATATGGTATTAAATAGTGACATTTTCCTCATCCTCCTTACTCTCTTGAGCTTGCTCCATCTCACTATCATTTTTTTCAGAGCATTACAACATTTTGTAGAGTAAAAATAGTTTATTAATTGCAATGGACTTAAAACTGATATTGAATGTTTCTTTGAGTCCAAACATGAATAATTTTATGCTTGATGGATCAACAATTTGCCAAATCAATGACATTTATTATCAACTAACATAAAAAAAGCATTTGCTTCTTTTCCATCATTGAAGGCAACGAGATTGTCTTTTCCAACTTAATTTTATATACAATTATATTTCTGATATTAATGCATATTCGAATACTATGAGAATTACATTGCGTTATATTCATTAGTATATATAACTATTATTAAATAACATTCGAGTATTATTGGCTTGATAAGGTTCTTCGATGTCACATAATTTTTTTTTTACATAAACGAAAAGTCATTTACTCTGATGAAATTTTAACAGCTGCCACTTACAGTATTTTTGTTCCATTTTTGTTTGATTAATTTCAATATTGCAGGTTTCTTTATGAAAAATAAGTTATATTTAAGAATGCGTAAAAATCGTGCATGGTATAGCATTTCAATTGATAGCATTGGTGACATTTACCAAAGTTCATGAAGATGATAAGAAATAAAATTGAAAACACGAAATGAATTAAGTGGGAGATTATAATTTGAAAAAACATTCATTCAACATTTCGTGTGCTAATGCGTATGTTTAAATGTGTGGTTGTGTGTATGTAGTTAAGTATATATATATATATATATCAAGTATGGATAGGTATCCAACAAAATGATAGGAAAAAGGACAAGTAGGAAACAAACTTTAATTTAACATGGTTCACTTTATAAATGCTTCGTCAGAAATCAAAATAAAATGATAAAACTTTTTTATCATTTTTATCTTGATCTCTGACGAAGATTTAATAAAGTGAAACATGTCAAATTTAGATCTGTTTCCCACTTGTACTTTATCCTATCATATATATATATATATATATATATATATATATATATATATATATATAGGGAGAGAGAGAAAGAGTGAGAAAGAGGGAAAGAGAGAGAGAAATACAAAAGAAAACTTACACCTATGTTAAATGTGCATGGAAGGGAAAATCGAATAAATATAAGCAGTAAATTTCTGATACTCTCTGAAGAATGGACGGGCCGGTCTGGCGTTGAGATACATAAGGTAACGTCAATCAGCTAAGTGACAAACTTCTACTCCCATTAATCCTATATATATATATATATATATATATATATATATATATATATATATATATATAAAAAAGAAAATTCGTTGGCGAGACCGGAGTCAGGTCAACGTACAGATATTATAAAAAAAGTGCTCAATACATAATTCACAAAATAGAATGTGCAGAACGAATAATAAAATTATAAAAGTTAAGAAGAGATTCACGCGTAACGGACTTCTCGGGTTTCGACCTTACGGTCCTGTCAGGACAGGTACTTGTGAATGGTCAATCCATAGCAGTAATTAAGCTATGGATTTTCTAATCAGTTATATATATATATATATATATATATATATAAAACTCCAAACGTTATTTTTAGTTGGTATCCATGTTTGAAATAGACGTCCCATTTTTTCAGTTTTGTTTTTTTCAAAACAGTGTGTACCGTCCTGAGTCTTGGAGAAAACATAATAAAGAGAATGTGCTCCCCCCTGAACTGTTCCCCCCCCCCAACTTTTTAGGCAGAGAGAAAGGGAAATTTTAGTATTTTCTATACGAAATACGCCAGCGGCTAAGAGAACAATTCGTACTTGTAGAGTAATGTATTAATAGCAGCAGCAGCAGCCACTGTTTTTATTAAATTTATCCTTTTCTCTAGAGAGCTTTATTGGTGGGGGGTTTCCGAGAACATATATATAGTTATCCACAGATTGTTTCGCTGTACCACAGCACTTCAGTGTAGCTAGACATATATATATATATATATATATATATATATATATATATATATATCGATTTAATAACCTTAGCTTAGATACGACACAAGGACGAAATTAGGTAGCACGCTGTGAGAAGTGAACTCACTATTCAGTCGTAATTGATCTAGTGAGACAAGCATGGTAACCCTTAGTCCACGTCGGAGTGCGCAATTCGATTTTAAGCATTACAAAACACACACACGCGCGCATACACACACACACACATATATATATATATATATATATATATATATATATATATATATATATATATATATATATGAATATGAATATAAACGAAGGTGACCATTTCGTACTCTCGGGGAAAAAGAGAACAAGAACATTTAAATAAGGGCATAAAGACTGTAATTATAAAATCTCAAAAAGTGCATTTCCCGGGCATTTCTTTTATTTGCTCCCGCCATATAAACTCACTAAAATAGGCTGTCTGCTTCTGATTTATATTTTTTCTCGAGAACTGACAACAAAAATGTTAAACACTATTTATTTTATAGACGTCTTATTTACAATAATAGTGTTTAACATTTTTGTTGTTAATTCTCAAGAATAAAAATGGCTGAGGGTGTATATTGTAATAGCGGCGTTAAGAGAAAAACCGCACTTTTGACACAACATTTTTTTTCTGTGGGTTACACTTTGTTAAACTTTACTTGATTTTGTATCCCTCTGTCATTATGGCATTCTGAATACCCTGAATACACACACACACTGGCATCGACTACTCAAAAAATAGTTCAAACTTCTGAAGGAACTGTTTTTGAGAAGTGGATGGCAGTGTGTGTGTGTGTGTGTGTGTGTGTGTGTGTGAGAGAGAGAGAGAGAGAGAGATGGATAGATATTGAACAGACTGCGATAGATAGATATGAAATTACAGCAATCGATAGATAGATCGATACGAAGAGACTGCGATAGATAGATAGATAGATAGATAGATAGATAGATAGATAGATAGATGTGGATAGACTGAGTTGAAGTGCGAGCTGGCTAGCTGTCCATCTCAGCGGAACAGATAGATAAATAGATAGACAGAACTCTCGCTCTCGCTCACATACACAGTTCCTGTGTGTGTGTGTGTGTGTGTGTGTGTGTGTGTGTGTGTGTGTGTGTGTGTGTGTACTCTGTCGACTGTCGGCAGCAGTAGAATTAATCCCGGAACATTAGATTTTATTTATTTTTGCTACTCATACACGGTCAGTCGTGAAGGTGACCTTCACGACGAATACAAATGTTAATTCATTTCCAGGAGGCCAAGAGAAATCAATATTGCTTGGCTAGGATTTTTTTTCGAAGACAAGCGACGATTGTAGGATTTTATAATCTGTTCATATTTTTGTATTATGTTTACAAGTCGCCAAATACAGATTTGATTCAATCAGTGACTGTCAAATTGAATTTAGTGTTAAGAAGGTCATGGAATTAACGGATAGAATTAACGTCGGGCGGTGAAAAATGATGAGAAAAGGACAACTACTACTACTACTACTACTACTCCCACCACTACTACTACTACTGGAATGTAAATATATGATGTCAGTCTACAAGACCGGCTAGCTAATCCCCGTTTCAGATACCTGCTCAGGTATATTTGTGTTTTTTCAAAACTCACAGAGTCCACTTGTGGTTTATATACTGCATCTATGCTGAGCGGACCTTTGTCACAGTTTTGGGGAGAGAACGCGTTATCTGGCGTGATCAACAGTTTGAATAAGGCCAGTACGCGCACAAACCCTCGGTTACAATGAATCCTGATTTCGTGCTAACACAATCGTCGACGGCTTCCAAGGGTTCGGTCTACCCAATTACACTCAAAAGGCTTTGGGTCAACCTGTGGGTATGGTTTTTAGGTACTTTCCAAAGGATCCCCTCCTTCAGACCGATAACATTAAGAAGTCACATTCCTGACAAATCGACCATGGTGAGATTCGAAACCAGGTGTCATTATCAGAAAACGAACGTTCTAACCATTCGGCAACGTGTCCATATACTACTACTACTACTAATAATAATAATAATAATAATAAGCTTCAAGGTTTCGGAAGATCGTAGAGGAAATCTAGCAGAATGTGAAGGTATCTTGACCATATTTTGTCTTTTTTTACAGTAAAGTTCACTCTGTACAAGGTCATGTGGCCACACGTGGTACAGGGTTACGTTAAGGGGTATTTTATACGGCTAGAAGTGGAAGATAATGTTTAAATCATGAACAGGTCAAGATTGTAGTGATCGGGAAACATTCCTCCTCTTAGGAGTCTGTTCAACAGGGCAGTGGTTCGCCAGAAGAAGCTGTTTGAATGGAAATTATTTGTCACTGATGGAATACGGAACGAATGTGGTTGGTTTGCTACAATGTAATTGAATGACGGATCTTAACTGTGAAGGTCAAACCCGGCGGAACCAAGGAATGTAGTTCGTCCGAGCATTTTTCATGGAAATAGCAGTGAGAGGCTCGCCACACCCGCCTTGTGTGTGTGTGAGAGAGAGAGAGAGAGAGAGAGAGGGAGAGAGAGAGAGAGAGAGGTTGGAGTGTTGAAAAGGACTCGGAAACGCTATCAAGACTGCATTATCAGGTCTGAGGAAATTGTGGAACAAAAAGGTGACATTCGTTCCAGTTTCTATCGAGGTACTGGACACAGTTCTGAAGTATCTCACATAAAGGCTGAGGGAACTGAAAATTAAGGAAAGTGTTGGGATCATTCAAATGGCAGCAATATTGAAAATAGCTTGGAGACAGCATAAACGTTGCATGAACAAACTCTTAAAGGTTTCATTGAAGATGATAAGTACAAATTTTGTGGGATGTCACGATCCAGTATGACCATGAAGAATTGCACAGAAAAGCAAACATAATGGTGGTAAATAAAGAAGAAAGAACATGCATCATCAGAGATGTGGTCTGTCCGCAGTAGACAAAGAAGAAAAAGTAAGAAAATTATGTTAGTTCAAAATAGGAAGTATATAAATTGTGGTTAATGAAGTGAGTGAAAGGCATTACCATTATTATTGACACTCTAGACACCATAGATCCTTAATGTTCAAAGTAGATGAAGAAGATTAAGTTTAATGTCAAGATTGTGCAGATACAGAAGACTGTATTGTCTCGTTGTGGACAGTTGCTACTTTGGCACTATTTCCAGTTAAATTTACCCTTTTTTGCCCATCAGATAATAATAATAATAATAATAATAATAATAATAATAATAATAATAATAATGAAAAATGAATATTTTAATCGAATCAGTTGAAAATAATTGCCAACTTTTCTTGTCAACATAGTTCGGGTTTTTCAATCAAAAACGTTTGTATGCTGAAATCCTAAACAGTGAGAATATACACAAACATTTTAGATTTGGAAGTTTTATAATTCCCGTTGAGGGATAAGTGAAAAATGCTAAGATTTTTTCAAAAAGTGAGCGAATGATTTTTAAATTATAAAGGTTAAATTTCCAAACATTTTATAAATCCACATATCGTAAGTATTTTTGTTGCTCTAAGTAATTCTAATGAATTCTAATGTAATTCTAATGAATTCTAAGTAATTCTAATGAATACGTAGACACATGTCATCTGACCTGCGTCCCCAAAGGTTTAAAACAGTTAAAGAAGAAATGGCAGTGTAAGTGATTTTTTTGTTTTAACAATACATATTTTCATAAAAATCAAAGTTGCGCTGCTCTTTCTAGAAGTCGAACTGTTACTTGGTAGAACTGATACCAAGAGGATGCTTCCCCGATCAGTACAATCTTAATCTTTTCAAGTCTACGGTTACCATTATTTTTCGCACATATCATCATAAACTGTCCCAATTACCTCTTACTCTGTAATTCTCTACCTCGAGTGACATTTGAGCCTTGTAAAATTAATCCTGTGAACATTATTGTGAAAAAATGTTAACAGCTTCAATTTTCATGAGAGTGCCGATAACATCTATATTTGTATGCAACAAAATAAAAACGGGAGTATGGAAAGAAAGAAAGAAAGAAACGGGACTAGGGAAGATCCTGCTCATTACTACCGTAATCTAGTTACATTCATTGAACCAAACGATATATTTATCTAAGTTTGCCACCTCTGTCAAGTTAGAATAATAGACATAAAGAATATGCGGAGATAGAGAAATAAGTATGTAAAGATAAAAAACAAGAAGATGAAAATTTCACCATCTAGACGTATAATATAAACCGCTAGGTAAACTAAGCCATAGTTCAAAATAAAAAAGTTTTCCCAACTAGGACATAGGCAATGAAAATTAAGACTCTCTTTTCGAAGCGGATCTATAGATGCGTTTATAACCAGATAGAAAATAAACCGAACTCAGAGTCGATAAATTAATTTTGTTAATTTCCCGATACTGCGGTCGTCGCAACATATCCAAAAACAAAATACGACATTTTCATCATTAAATGGCGACCATAGAAGGCTAACCAGTCCTTGATACACTGAAAACAAACATAAATGCCATCACCATGTGGTCAAGTGATGACTACTATATTTGGATACATACACACACACACATATGTATACATATATATTTACTTCTTACAATATTCTTTCTCTGTCTCTCGATTTCTGTTATGCACCAAGACTTTTTACACTTGAACTCTTGAAAGTTTAACTTCCATCTTATACTTCTGTATTATTATATTATGTTATATAATGATTTATTTGGTATTTTCGAACACATTGTGCATTATCTTTTAATCATTGCACAAGGCTAATATACGCCCAAATCAATTATACCGATATATAATGGGAATGGACGTTGTCGTAAGATAAATAACTCATCCATGACTGATAACCTCGTATAATGCGCTCGCGCGCGCACACACACACACACATATATATATATATATATTCCTGTAGATACACAATATAACTGGAAATGACATTGTTTTTTTCCTTCCAAAATCAACAACGGCCATGCACAAAAAGAACGAAATGAAGAACGCTTCTTTTCACTAAACAACGATTGTCAAACTAAAGTTACCATGTTTGTTCAGAATACATCTTTCACATTCTTAACACAAAAAGCTCTCAATTTCTCGAATCTACCTATTCCATATATATATGTATAATTGCATTAGTATGTACAGAATAAAAATTATATTTATCATACAATAAATTACCTCCCACATGATATAATGACTGAAAGATTTTCAAAAGGAAATAAAACAACAACGATTTTACCTTAAACGATGCAGAAGGGACATGTGTTTTCAAGTATGCAAAATCATTTATCTGCCATCTATCTTTAAGTTACCCCTATCCATTCTGCACTTTCATAATCATTTTACTGGTCTCTCATCGAATTCGGATAAAGGCATTCTTATCCTCCCAATCATGATATCTTAATCATAGGTGATGTTTAAAGTAGGCACACAGTTGATACGTAGTGAAAGAATCATCAGTGGAGAATCTGTCTTGTCACGGCTTTCATTACAGTTAATAAGCACAGAAATACAACGTCTCCTCCTTGTTGGAATATACAATACGCTCATTCCGATCATAAAACCGACCGTGGAGAATAGAAATCTTCAGAAATGTGTGTACGATTTTGCAGTGAAATAAGACGTCTTACACACTCTGCTTCTTATCACCATAGCGAACACTTTCAGGCAAGTCAACCAGCCTCGTTGTGAATATCAAAACACCGCAGAAGAAGGTGCATAAAGAGTGTCATGATCCCTACAAGGAATTGCCTATGAGTAATATAAACCAAGTTGTTTCAGTATATTCCCTATACTTATTAAATTAGTACTGAAGAATGTGATCTATGTAAACTATAAAATCTCAGTTGAAATTAGCTAACATATAGGGATATTATTATTATTATAAATTGATAAAAAATAAAATTTAAAATAATAATAATGAAAATTATGAATAAAATAAAACAATATCACAAAAACGTCGTATAAAAGAAATTAAATAAAAATTAAAAGTAATAAAAATACTCCCAGCATGCAACAAAAACTGTTCCTTCTGAAAATATGGACATCCCGTCTAAAGATATTAAATTCAATTCCCACAAACCTTGGTACAGCAACATGTGTGTAACTTCTCTCTGTGATAGAGCTTGTAATACTACGGAGTACATTCTCCCGTTTATCACATGTACTATAAAACAATTATAACCTAAAAAATACACACAGCAATACATACAAAAATATGAATTGTATGAAATTAACATTAAATTTACCAAGCTTTTCCTGTTATTTCTGTACGTTTTATTTCCTCACAAGTATGCTTTTATTTCTGTTAATACAAGGCTAATTTCTGCTGCTATGATGTGAGTGAATCTCCCACAAACAATCTATTTTTTGTAACGATAGACTCAATGTAAATATCAAGTGTCTAAACCAGCGTTTCTCAACCGGTCTACCCGGGGCCATCATTTCTCCCTGCAAGGTATCCAGAAAAGTTATTTATGAATTATTTTTATATTTAAAAAAAATCTTTATTTTGAAAAAGCTTGAGAGACCAAGAACATAGCTTCCATGTCTAAGTCTTTGTTATTTGATATTTTAAATTGGATGTTAAATACTCTAATCTTTAAGAAGGAGTCGATAAGCCTTTCTCTTTTGCCTTTCTCAAGGAATATAAATCCGTGATTATCGGCCTCTCTAAAAAAAATCGCAGATTTTTGATAAGTCCCTTTAAATTAAAACTCTACCGCTCAAATATACAAGGTAATGTCTTAAAAATAATTGTTTCTTTCAGGAGATTTCTTTAGTATTTTCTTATTTTCATAAATATATATGTTTAAATAAGGTTTATTTAGGCAGAATGAATTCTTTTAAACAAGTTTTTAAACAAATTCTGATACGGACAGACTTAACTTCCGGCTAAGGTCATTCAGTTCATAATTAAAATTGGTAAATTTTCCAAAGTCCATTTTTTTAATACTAGTACTTTTGACCGTAACTACATTCGTCATCAAGAATTCTGTGTTTAGTCTGGTTATAAAAATGTCTTCCGCTAATTCAGACATTCTCTAGTTTTTTGGAAGCAATTTCAAGTCTCTTAATGGTGACGTCATTTCCAAAGGTAAAATTATATATATATATATATATATATATATATATATATATATATGTATGTATGTATTTAGAAATGTTAGGCAGTGTCCCCGCTTGCATGCATCATCCGTTAGTATACTAAGCTACTCCCCACGCTCATCTTTTTACGGTACGTCCTTTGCAAGTGTTTGATAAACGAGTCCTTGATGAAGGAATTCCTTCGATAAAACCTTCTTGCGTAGGCGTTGCTCGAGGTTAAATTATTTTAATAGTTTGATATTCAGTAAATTTCCTATGGCCGTAATAACTTTCAAATAATATGGCATTGTTCATGAAACGAAAACAGGGATGAAGTGTTAGAGCTTGATTCAATGACAAGTGCAAACACATAAACGTCCCCTCCTTCTTTGCACGTTTACTGTAAAACTGGAGTTAATAAGAGGTCATTGGGGAATTTTTTCCCTTTTAACGCTTCAATAAACCTTCTTAAGCAGTCTTTGCAACAAAGGTTGTTCGAATGCCAATTTAGGATGGAATCATATGAAGAAACTATTGGCTAAATGGCAAAAGCCGATTTGGCACCTATTTTGTCACAGATTTCGTCCGCTTAATTGAAATAATCTAAACCAAACATTCACGCAAGATAATTTGTGTGTCATATGTAATTTACATATACGTGGGGAAGCGATCAGGACTAAAACCACACTATCTTATTTTTTGCATGATAGCAATATTTTGGCGACATGTTTGAAGAAAATCGAATAAAAAATAAGGAAGTTATTCAATTTTTTTATTTTACATATTACGAATAACCCGATTTTTTCTCAGTTTTTTTAATAATTTTTTGAGTGAAACCAATGT